GTCACTAAATTATGCTGCTGTAGTTGTAAATGCACCAATAATGACGATTCTGTCTCCTCGACACAAGGCTTGTATTTTTTTCACACTCTGAAATCACTTTTTTTGAAAATTCTTCTGATTGTCAGTACACCCAAAAATCCTCACATTTACGGGTGAAAACGTAAAAAGTGAGTTTGTTGTGAACAAAACGCTGCTCGCACTTGGTTGGGAAAGACAACCTTCCGTCTCCTGCAACGACCCGTTTTAAATTTGAATACCTGGAATACAAGTTTTTGTATTTATGTATTTCAGCCAAACCATGAATACATTTCCAGGAATTGAAAGAAAAAAAAACAACAAAAAAAACGAGAATTCCAATTTGTGTTTATCATAACGGGTTAGCTGTCCCTCTCTGAGGTTATTTAGTGCCTTACTGGCAAAGGAAGCTGAACACACTGCTCGGTTCAGCCTGAGGGGCTGTGTGGAGATGGAGTGTGCTGCTTGTTGATTGTTCAGACCCCTTGGTGCAAACCTCCCCAGTCTCGGTGACTCATGCAACACACAGATTTGAATCTTTCCAGCCAAGAGTCTGCTCGATGAGATTGGTGCAGCACTCCAACTGTTTGTGGAATTTCTGAAATGTTCAATGAATTTTAAGGACATCTTCAATGATGACATTTGAATTAAAATGCAGAGAATATGAATGCATTTTTCCAAAAATATCCCCAAATGTGTGCTCTTTTATCCCCCCAAGAACCAAATATTGAAATATATGTTCATCTGCTGTGGCTTTGCAAATGAATTACTTTTCCTTGACTCTATGTTTTCAACACAAATCATGCTATGTATTGGCAACAGACTTTGATATACAGATATTATGTGACAGATGTAGGCAGCTTATTACATGAAATAATTAAAAAATGTGTTTATGTGGACACGATTAACACGATGTGACAATTAAACTTTTACACCACCAGATGTCAGCATCTATCTATCTATCTATCTATCTATCTATCTATCTATCTATCTATCTATCTATCTATCTATCTATCTATCTATCTATCTATCTATCTATCTANTATCTATCTATCTATCTATCTATCTATCTATCTATCTATCTATCTATCTATCTATCTATCTATCTATCTATCTATCTATCTATCTATCTATCTGACTGATGGCAGTGACATCAAGGTGTTGTGATTTGAGACCTACTTGACTCATATATCTGCCAGAGAGCAAATTGACTCAGCCATGCAGTGCTCCTCTGACCACTATGGACCATAAAAATGTGTGTGTGTTTCTTTGTGTGTGTGTGTGTGCATGTGTGTATGTATGTGTGTATGCGAGGTGTGTGTGTGCTTGTGTTTGTGTTGGTGTGTGCGTTGCCTCTGTGTGCAATGACTCATTGTTTTAGCTCACAGTGGGAAACCTTGTTTTTGTCACATCGAATTTGCTCCATCCAAAACGATATTGATCCCCCGACTGTATGACGTGTGTGTGTGTGTGTGTGTGTGTGTGTGTGTGTCTTTTCGCTTTAATGAGAGCGCTTTCAGGACAATCTGTTACAGATGTGGTGAAGAAGAAGGGTGCCGCCTCATCAAAGTGTGTGTATATTAATCCTTGTATTTGTCTCTGTTTTGCTGTGTTGTCTGTTTAGACGTTCATTTTCACGGACACAGAGGATGAGGACTTAAGCTCAGAAGGTAAGCAGCCAGTTTAAGTCTAATTTGCATGCAAAGTCTAAGATTTAGACTGAAAACTGCATTCTGTATGGGCAAAAGTATGTGGACATATCCTTGCGGGTCAACTATCTTTTACCCCAGCAAGGCCGCTTATTGTCTTAATGCAGCAACATAAAAGGTCTTTTTCTGTTTTGTCATGACAAAGACCCACAAAACTAATTCATATTCAAAAGTGCCTGATATTCCCTTTGAATGTACAATAATATGCCTGAAAATAGTTTTTTATTTCTGGATATTTTAAAAAGATGAGGTATGTTTGGCTATGCAAATATCAAAAAAGCATTTCCTGCCATACCGGCGCTCAATTTGGGTTTCAAAGGAGCTGGAAAACCCAAAAAACACATGAAATAAGAAAAAAGGTGTTTGAAACTCAGAAGAGTCACATAAAGGAGTCCTGCAGCAACACAAACCTCCTGATATTAGTGTTCATTGTGGGTCTGGGTGGGAATGCATAGTCCCCTAAAAATTTGGAACAAATTCACCGATTGGATGAACCGACCCTGAAGCCTAACCGACCCCCGTAAATACTGCTGCCTCGACTTTGCATTCTAAGTCTGCACACATTCTGCTTGCAGTGATGCAGCGGCAGATTTACCACTTGACATTCATGGTAATATCTGAAACAGTGGACAATCTAAGCAGCCTTTTCATTTCCAGCCGGCTTCTCATTTCTAGTCCATCTTGCGAGCTGAAAAGACAGCTGATGAATGGCAAATTTAAACGTAGACTGCAAGCCAGACCTTATCAGCCCACATCAGTGGCAGACTTCACCAACGCTCTTGTGTGTAAATGCGAGCAAATTCCTGCAGTCAGAGTCCGGCAGAAGAGTGAAAGCAGCAGAATAATGTGTACAGTTTGGGGAATTAAGACCTGTCCTGGTGTCCAAATACTTTTGGTTATGTTTTTCCCTGTAATGCATTTTTCCCTTTAATCTCCTTTTTTTTTTTACTGACACATTCATCTGCCTTTCCATGCTTCTGTTTTTACATAATTTCCCTTCTCTCATGTCCTTTAATTGACTCTCTCTCATCTCTCCTCCATTTCTCACGCTCTCTTTGTCCCCCTGTTTCCATCATCACAAACAGTATTGCTCAGGAAATATAGAAAATGGCAAAACAATGTATTATACAAAAGTAATCATCAATACCTGCAACCATGTGCAACACCTTGGAAATTGAGAACATCCAGCTGTATTAATAAAACAAAAACCTCCCTCCCTCCCCTCTGTCACCACCTCTCCCTCTCTCCTTCTGTCCAGGCTACAACATGGTGGTAACAGGCTGCCAGTCAGATCACAGTCAGCAGGCTCTGTCCTGCAAGATGTCTGCCGAGTATGACGGTTTCATGGCCTCCAACAAGAGGTGAGACAGATTATGTTCCATCTATCACACTGCCCACACCGGATTTAAAGATCAGATTAAGATTACAAACTTGACTGGTCACCGGTGGGGGAATCAGGCTGCTACAGCAGGAGGCAGTGCAGAGAGAACTCAAAGGCGTAGATGATCTTTCAGGGTTCCATGAGTATATACACAGGTGAGAATTACTACTGTCACACTTATTACAGGGGTAATCTCTGAAGGAGACTTTCAAATTGGATTTATTGACTTTTACTCGAACTGGAACAGTAGTACATTAACATTTTGTGTTTTTTATTTTAGCAATAAATGTATGCGTGTAATCTGTGACGGGTAATGTAATTAACTGAAGGTGCAATCAGTTGCTGCAAAAGTAATCAGAGCCTCTGCATTCATTGTAACTTCTCAGTCATGTAAGTGAGACACTTTCTGAGTTGCTTCAGTTGAACTTTTGCTCTTTCATTGATGACAGATTTGTTAGGGCCTCCTCTTTGACAAACAGAGATAATGTAGACCATACTGGTGGTTGACAGCGATCCATAACACATTACAAATACCCCCAAAACACTTTGTTGATATCTTTCTTTGAACAACCCAAAATAAAGCCACTGTACAACCGTATCTGCTTTTAGTATTAAAAACAGTATGTTTGCATTTTAAAGTTCCCATATAATAATCCCCATCAACATTCAGGTTTCAGCCCTGTTTAGAACAGTCTGGTGCAGTATCTGTAGCTTTAAATCCAACTAAGCCACAGCCACACCTCTCTGTGTGTCGACTCTGTACAGTGGCAGACAGGAACCCAAAGGAGGTGTTACTTATCTGCTCTAACATCACAGCAGGTTGCAAACCTAACCAGCTCATTATTATCATTTGAGTCTCTGGACTCACTGTTGATAAATAATAATGTTAAAAAATAACAACAAACTGGATTTTGCACAACACGACCCCTTTAACTCTGTCACACAGTCTATCCTGTGTCTTGTCACAATATCATATTCACCAGGTATTTGTGTTCACGAGTTATACGTGAAGACATGACATCAACTCGGCCAATGAAAATGCTGCTGCCAGATGTAAATGCTGAAAATCAGGGAGTAAAAAGTTGATGTTAACAGCCTGAATGTGTTAAAGCCCTGTAGTGGCAATCATGTTTTGTCCCCAGTTGATGCGTATATATATGCTAGAAAACATATCATGAATGAAGTAAACAGTCCATGACAATCTCAAAAACATTATTCAGACTTCCAGAGTTTCATATGTGACAAATCTAAAGATTCAACCTTCTTAACTTGGTTAAGGCTTTCTGTGTCATTAACTTGACTGAGTTACTCCAAGATTACAACTTGCCATTGAGTGGCGTAGACTAGTTCTACAGAGTTTAATCAGAATCATAAGTGAACTTGAGCTGCAGCATGTTGGGAGGTGTGCATGGGGAGAGAGAGGCGTGGACTTTGTAGATCTACATATTCTAGAAACAGAAAGACGCCTGTAAGTTAATCCAAGACATTTTAAAGCAGGAAGGGATTACTTTAAAGAAAAAAATACTTGTGTAATTTTGATACACAGAGGTGAGCTTATAGGTGTTAAAGGAGAGAGTTTAAGATTGTTGAATGGGGATGAAATTAAAAGGTTGAGTGTAAAGACTGAAGTTTTAAATTAAGGGGGTCTGTTGGGCTGAAGAGCGCTGAAGATCAATGGAGGCCAGAGGCTGAGTGGGCAGAGTATGGAGTGAGCTGCTGCCCGAGCAGCTTTGAATGGTTTTGGAGAGTAAGCAGGCAGGCATGGAGCATGAGGAGAAGCGTGGTCATAAGATGGGTTGGTGGTTTGGCTGGTGGCTGTTTAGTGGAGCAAGCAGGCTGGCACACAAGAGAGGATCTGAGCACAACGATAAGACTGGTTACCGCGAGAAGAAACACGCAGAGAAACTAGTTGGCGAGGCAGGGTTGGCCTGAGAGCGACTACTGCCACTGAGGGTGACCGAACACAATCTGGCGGCATGTGGTGGAAAAGCCGGGGTAGACAGGCCACGCCCACACACACACACACACACACACACACACACACACACACACACTCAGATATATGACCATACGAACACAGAGAAACAGAGAAGAGAGGGAACACAGGTACACTGGGAGATACACCCACTGCATTTGAATTCACATTCTTTTTCTTTTTCCTTTCAGCATGTACTGCAGCAGCCCTTACAAAGTACATGCTGTTGCATACAGAATGCATACTATTGGGAGCTACTGCTCTCATTATATGCGCCTTAAGCTACGACTGTCATGCTCATGTATTCATCACAGTCTACAATGCGCTCTCGGTTGCTCGAGCTTTTATGATGTGTCTTCTGCGATGCAGGGGACTGGGGGTCAGGATGGCCAGAAAGGCACACAGGCTTCCATACTGCAAAATCCAACCGCATGTTGTAGGACATGCTGGTATTTTTGGATTACTGTATTTGAAACACTATGTACTGGGACACTGTAAATCTTTTTCTGGCATACAAAATTGTATGGTGGCATGGGTATTGGAAGGCACCCATGAGGGACATGGCATTAGTCATGACAGAATATGCATTAGACAGCATACTCACTATTTGTGGATGCTGTAAAATATAGTGGACAATGTCTTGTATATTTTAGATCTGTAAAAAAATGAAATGAACAGCTTGTGTTTGGTGTATAACTAAGACGCTGACTATGCTGTTATTAAAATGGCAGTGAAAATGTGTCTTCCGTTTGGTTCCAATGCTCGCTTCGAAACCTCCCCAGAAGTCCCACTGAAGTCCTGCTGAAGAGGGAAGTGAGGCTGTTTGGTTTGGAAGGAAGCCTTTTGTGTTGTGTGGCACCCATAGGGATGGATGAGCAATTCAGTTTGGTACCAGCAGCTTTGTAATTTGGACTCTGATGTTGTAGTGGAAGTCTTGTCGGTTTGGAGTGAGGCTGGTATCATGTCCAGCAATTCTAATGGCAGAAGAATTAAAACAGCTCCATCACTCACTGAGTAAAACAGCAAAAAATCATACTCTGAGGACAGGAGAATATCCAAACTAAAAAAGGCTTCTAACTGGGAACATATCTGTGATAAAATATCCTCAATTCAAGGTTCATGTACTAGCCTTTTTCAGAGCTTTTGTAACCGTTTCCAATGGAAACAATCCACATTCAGCCACAGTTAAAGAGAGCCAAGAGTTAAGATCTACATCCGTGTAGCATTTGTTATCAGAGGTTTCCTATTTTGAGCAATAGAATTAATTAAAATCTTTGTTTTTGTACAATGTGTAAAATGTCTACAATCAAGGTTCGTAATCAGGCAATAGAGTTTATTTGTTGTCTAAATGTATCATACAATTGATGATAGCTGACAACATGTTGTCTTGAGTCACAGCATACAGTACCTGAAACTGTGACTTGAATAATTGTTATACGCCAATCAATCAAAACATTAAAGTCATTGATCCAACATTGTGTTGGTCCCCATCATGACACCCAGAAAGCTCTGATCCATTATGGCCCGGACCCCACAAAGCTCTGAATGTGTCCAGCGGTATCAGGCACCAAGATGTCAGCAGCAGATCCACTATGTCCTGGAAGTGGCGAGGTGGGGCCATAGACTGGACTTGTGTTTTTTCCTGCATATCCTACAGACGCCCAATCAGATTAAGATCTTGGAGGACATATCAACATCTTGTCCTCAAACCATTGCTGAACAATGTTTGCAGTGTGGTAGGGTGCATTATTCTGCTGAAAGACACCACTGCAACCAGGGAATACTGTTGGGGTGGATATGGTTTCCAACTATGTTTAGTGGGCATGTGTCTAAGTAACACTCACATGAATGCAGGACCCAATGTTTCCCAGCAGAACAATGCCTGCTGCCATCAATGGCCCTTGGAAGTATCCCAGTTCGACCTCGACATGGGCCAACTGGGTCACTCTGATCTTTGTGTGGTTATGCAGCCATTATCACAGTTACAGTCATGCATTGTATGTTCTGACTCTTTTCTACCATGGCCTGCATTAAGATTTTTAGCAATTTGGGCTACAGTAGCTCAATAGTTGGTTCAGCTATTGCTCCCCATGCACATCACTGACCCTTGAGCACCCAAGACCCTGTTGTCTGTTCACTGGTTGTCCTTCCTTAGACCACTTTTAGGTTCAAACCCCTGCATATGGTAAGACCCCACAAGACCTGCTGTGCTTTAGATGCTCCGACCCAGTCATCTAGCAGTTACAGTTCGGTCCCTGTGAAAGTTGCTCAGATCCGCTTGCCTTTGTTTCCTGCTTCCAACACATCAACTTTAAGAACTGACTGTTCAGGTGCTGCTAAATGTATCCCACCCCTTAACAGGTGCCACTGTTACAGGGTAATTAATGTTAGTTACTTCACCTGTCAGTAGTTGTGGCTGATTGGTGTATTTATCTACAGTTTACAAGACTATTGAGACTCCAGGTGTTTTCTCTCTCTGTTTCTGTTTAGCACATTTACAGTGAATTTAATGATCGCATTTACGAGACAGACAGACTGTTGGAAGGGAGAAGTGATTTGAGCGCTCGGTTTGTTTTTGTTGATTGTAGGAGGTGAAGTCTCTCGTCTGATTTACGTCTAGAAAACACAAACTTCAGGAGATGAATTGGTATAAATATATACTTTTCTCTTCTGTCTCTGTGATTAGGTGGATTTCTGTTCTCTATTTCAATAAAGCATCCAACACTCAGCTGTAAAGCATAACCTCTGTTTCTTGAATGCATAAAATGAAGACAGTCTAGTGCAGGGTTTCTATTTTTTAATGCAAAATTATGTTGCACACTAAGATATAACATTTCAATAATTTGGTTGGTTAAGTCAGGTCTTTGAAGAACCAACAGAAGGAAAATTAGAGTTCTTCTTTACAAGCTTCAACAGAAGGAATGGAGTGAAGCTTAGAGAACCTAAACTATTACGACAAACACCAGTGTTATAGTTTATCTTTTGCCCTTCAGGTGGTTTTGCCATGTGGACGACGATAACTACGTAAACCCGGAGGCCCTCCTCTCCCTGCTCTCGGCCTTCCCCCAGGAAGCTGACATCTATGTGGGCAAACCGAGCTTGGACAAGCCCATCACTGCGCATGAACTGCTGGAGGGCAACGCAACGGTACCACCCCACAGTGCTCATTTAACTTAACCCACTCATGAGCTTTTACATTTCTTGGCATACTGAGGTTACATGAACATGGCCTCTGGGTTGTTGTTGTTGTTTTTGTTTTTAACCTCTCATCTAATGGGACCAGGTAGACTGCACGCTAAGAGAAAAACTACAGGAGGCTGTTTTGAAAAAGAATCACTTCATTAAATGTGCTAAAGGTGAAAAATGTGAAAGAACCGAGACAAAAACACGAGTGCTTTAGTTATAGCACAACCATCTAATACCAGTGACCTCAGCAGTGGTCATTTTGTACCACAGCACACGATGACTCCCTTGAAACCCACATAGAATTTTATTTATATGGGCCGACGACTTCTTACATCAGAGTGACCCCTCGAGATACATTAAGGCCTTTAATGATACGTCGCAGATTTATTTCTACTTGCTGTGCTGCCTCCTGAGAATCTTTATCTTCATTTTCCATCTTAAATTCTTTTTTTTCTCCCCCTTCTTTGCCTTTTTCTTTTTACTGATTACTTGTTTGTTTCCACCTAAACAGACCTACTATAGCATTTGCTTACTGGTTGTTTTTCCGTGAATGCTTCTGTTGCTGCTTTAATGCTCGTGTTCCTTGCATGCTCTGTTACTCTTCCTTGCCACATTTTCTGGAAAAATAATTCCCTAACATCATATTGTTTCACCCTGATCAAGAATGTAATGGAAACACTGGTTTCAGGGGCAAATCTAAATCCAAACAATCGCACAGATTGTAATCCAGTGAGCCTTACTGCTGCCTAAAAACAAATGTACCTGGTATGTCCGCTTAATAATTGATTGCATTTTAAAACAGGTCAGCCTGGAAGGTCAGGTGTCAGAGAGCAGCAGAAGTTAAGATCAGATACACTCAGAAGTGTGCTGGGAAAGAAATTCAGCCCTGGACTTACCCTGGAAATCCCAGTGCTCTGGATGAAAGTGTCTCCATCCTCGCCTCCTACTACTTTGCAGTCTTACCTTTCGTTGCAAACAATACACTTGTCTCACAATGAATTTATGTTTCTGTCAAAAACATAAATGACAATACAGTTTAGCTGTGTTGGAATGAAATGTTTGGGGGACATGGTTGACCAGACAGATAGAGAGAGAGAGACATAAAACAGTAAAGCCTGTAGGTCACCACACAGTTAAGATCTGATCTATGACATATAAGGAAAACTGACTGAAAATGAATTGAGTTTCTGATAGTCACTGATATTAGTGGCTACATAAGGCCACCTTGAGAATAGCTGGAGTCTGTGTGAATTGGTTTATGGGCTTCTACTGGGGATGAAATTGAATTTAAAAATAGGTGATTTACATAATTGTTTCATACTGTCTCTTAAGTAAAGGTGATCATGACTTAAAGGAGCGCTGGCCAAAACTACCAAAGTGAGTCACATTGTGGGGGGGATAAAAAAAAGATGGAATTTCTTCTTTTTTTCTTCTTTTCTTACATCGTTCCCTATTTTCCTCCGACTAACTGTCAATCTGTTGTTCATCCCTTCATTTTTTTCTTTCTCCTCTTCCTTTGATTTTTTTTTCTTTCACTCTGCTGAGGACACTAAAGAACAGTAAAACTAAGCTGAGGTCTGTTCCAATTGGTTTTGTGCCAAAGTGCAGCCCAGCCGGGGTTAACCGCCGCCATTCAGAATCCATACGTTCATTTGTGAAAGGGACGTTAAATGAGGATGCAGTTAAGTACGTATGTACGGGGACGGATGGAGGCGCATGAAATGTGTCGCTCTGTGGCTTTTGTTCACATGGGAAAGACTTTTGGGCGCCAAGTGGATCAATCAGTGATTAGTGTTTTGTTGGGCTATTGATTGGTGGTAAAGCACATGCATGCACACACACACACACACACACACGATAAAGATGACTCCCTGAGGTCAATCGTTGGTTTTTTGAATACACATGCAGCTATTCATGAATGTGTGTGTGTGTGTGTGTGTGTGTGTGTGAATTACTGCTCCTAGTGCATCCTGATTTCAGGAAGCTGTCTGAATACCACATCATCCTCTGTGTCTCTCTCCGTCGTCTTTTCAATCTCTCCCGCTCATTTCTTGAAATTACTCCCTCCATCTCCCTTGTGTCACATTCTCCCCCCTGATTGCACCCATTTACAGCGAAAAATAGATCTTTATTAATCTTTGCTTCTTTCCCCTCTCTCTTCCCGTTCCTCCTTTCCCTCTGTTCCTATTTTCTGGATGGAGAAAACACAAACGAATGTCGGGCTCCTCTCTGTCTCCTCCTTTCATTTTCTTGCATCTCGCTGCCTATCTTTTTCGATTTCCTGTCACCGTTGCGAGGCAGCGAGGAGAATGAGAGGAGGAAGGAGGGAAAAGAAAGCAAAGGAATGGAAAGAAAGGGGTAGGAAGGAAACGGGAAGACAAACAAAAAGGAGGGACTTTTGAGAAAAAAATGGCCAAAGCAAAAATGTTTAGAAAAAGGTGGAATGACAGTATGGAAAGGAAATTCAATTTAAAGACATTTAGAGGGAAGCCTTGTAAAGAAAATGGAAGGAAATACTAGAAAGCAATCGAAAGGAATGAAAAGGATGGAAGGGAAGAAAAACAGAGGAGCCAGCAACAAGGCAAAGCCATGGGTAAAAAAAAAGGAAATTAAAAAGTTCTGAAAAGAAAGGGGAAGGTGGTGATGACAGAAAGGAAAAATGAAAAGGTTAAGAAAAGGAAACAAAAGAAAAAGAAGGCAAGTAAGAAGAAAAAAGAAAAGAAAGAAAACACACTGATCAGCAACAAGCGTAGTGTTATGTAGGCCTCCCTTATGCTGCTAAAACATCCATCCATCCATTTTCTATACACCGCTTAATCCTCACTAGGGTCATGGGGGGCTGGAGTCTATCCCAGCTGACTCAGGGTGAAGGCAGGGGACACCCTGGACAGGTCACCAGTCTATCACAGGGCTACACTTAGAGACAGACAACCAAGCACACTCACATTCACACCTACGGACAATTTACAATCACTAATTAACCTCAACATGTTTTTGGACTGTGGGAGAAAGCTGGAGAACCTGGAGAGAACATGCAAACTCCACACAGAAAGATCCAGGTGACCCCACCAGGACGCGAACCGGTGACCTTCTTGCTGTGAGGCAACAGTGCTACCCACTGCACCACCTTGCAGACTGATGCTAAAACAGCTCTGACCCATTGTATCTTGGAGGACACAGACCTCTGAAAGTTTCAGCAGCAGATTCTTTAAGTTCTGGAAATAGTGAGCTGGGGCCTTTATGAATCAGACGTATTTTTCCAGCACATTCAACAGATGCTATATGGAGGTGAGATCTGGAGAATTTAAAGGCCAGGAGTTCTGTGCCATGTTCCTCAAACCATTCCTGTACACTTTCTGCAGTGTGGCACTATTTAAAGGGAGGCTTAGTATTTGCAGTGCCTCTTGTTTCAGCGAAGCCTTTTAGGTTTTTTCGCTTCTCTCCTGCTCTCTAAGCTCACATATACTGTATTTCAGTTCAGCAGAATTCTCAACAAAGCTGTTCTCATGTTGTTTATGTTTGTGCTTTCAAATGGTAGAACAAGTGACTAAAACGTATCTCACTAAGACATGTCAACTGGCAGCCAAACTGCTGCTCAGCGCTGCTAAAATCCTGATTTTATAACGACTACCTTGTCTGACACACTCACCGTACACATGTGCTCAAGACACGCTGCCTTAAGAATGCAGCTATACGACACATGCAAAACAGTCACTCAGAGAAAAAGTAAGAGGTGACAGAATGTCTTCTTCTCACGCTCTCATTCGTATCTGTCAGCTGCCGTGTGGTCCGCTGTGAAGCACAGGTGTGCCTGCGGCGGACTAGAAAGACCTCATGCTTGTGGGGCAATACTGGTGACTGCAAAGTAGCTCGGGTACGTTCAGTGGGTGGCTAGATTGGTTGGTAGATGCTGTCTTGGAGAAAAAGATTCTCAGGGGATCTGAAAAATGGCTCAATCTAGTTGCAAAGCCGATAGCAACAGTGAACACTGTATGGACACCGAGCTGTCACTAAAAAAACAGTCAAAGGGGACACACCCATGAAAACCTGCCCACATGAGAGGTTTGTTCAGAACTGTTAGTCAGTGCAAATCAAATAATACCAACAAAATAACAATGGTTTACTTAATTATACATATGCTTTGGTTGCATGTTAAAATAATTCATCCTCTTTCAGATTCTTTTTTTTTTTTGCTCGATTATATCGGCGGGCTGCAGGGTGGTGCAGTTGGTTAGCATTGTTGCCTCACAGCAAGAAGGTCACCAGTTTGCACCTGGATCTTTCTGTGTGGAGTTTACATGTTCTCCCCGTGCAGCGTGGGTTCTCTCCAGGTTCTCTGGCTTCCTCCCACACAGTCCAAAAACATGTTGAGGCTAATTGGTGATTCTAAATTGTCCGTAGGTGTGAATGTGAGTGTGCTTGGTTGTCTGTCTCTAAGTGTAGCCCTGTGATAGACTGGTGACCTGTCCAGGGTGTCCCCTGCCTTCACCCTAAGTCGGCTGGGATAGACTCCAGCCCCCCCTTGCGGATTAAGCAGTGTATAGATAATGGATGGATGGATTATATCGGCAACAATCTGATTCCACTGACACCAAACCCGTTTAAGGTAAAAGGGCTGTAGGTAAAAGGTTGTTTAGTTAAAGACCAGGTCGAAAGTCCGAATGAAATTTTAATTCTGTTTTTGTGGAACTGTAACCCAACGGAACTGCAGCTGGTCTGGATATTTTTTTTTTCTCCATCTTTTCGAAGAACATCAAAGGGGTTTCATACGTAACCTTGTTGTGCTTCTATCTGAGCTTCGGTCTGACAGATATTCCAGCACCAGAGTTGTACCTTCTGTCGCCTTCTGTGGTGAATTATTAAATTACAGATGGTACTAAGCTACAGCAAACAACCACAACAAGTTACCACAGCAGGAAGCATTTTGTGCTCCACTGACTTCTCCATGTAGTGGTTTGCTGTATGAAAAAGTTAAACTGGGGCTTTTTCTTTCTGCATTTTTCTCTTTTTTTTGTTGGAGCCTTCGAGCATTTTTTATTGGGGACACAATTTGTACCAACACGGTGCTCAGTGCATTTTGTATTTGTTTGTGTCTGCATGTGTATACCTGTTAATTAACCATCTGCATATGTGTTGTGTATCAGAGGGAAGTGCGCTTCTGGTTCGCTACAGGAGGAGCTGGTTTCTGTCTGAGTCAAAGGCTGGCAGAAAAGATGGCTCCGTGGGCCAGGTATTCACAAAAACTTCGTCTTTATAGGGACCAAATGTGACAGTTAGTGTTAGAGCTAATAGCAAATAATATTTCATTGGTTTTTGCATGTTTTGGTGCATTTATTACAAGTTGGATTCTTTCAAAATAAAGATTTTAAAGTTTAAATTTATGCAATTTTGTGAAAAGTTTTTAGTTCCTATCCTCCAGGCGTCTACTGTTTAGTCTAAGTCATAACAATCTGACTTGGAATACAGTATTAAATCTATTGTACCAAACATATTTTGATTTATTTTGTTAAACGTACACTATAGTGGCTCAGTAATACAGCCACAGCTATAATTTGAGAACCACAAAGGCCCAAAGCTTTGCATTCCTGTGCTTTGTTGTGTGAAAGACAAACCCAGAGAGAAAGCAATAAGCACATCTCATACAAGAAATAATGGGAATTTCATAACTTCTTTCATTAAAGATTGTTGTCTCACTTCCTAGTAAACACTGGAATGCACAAACAGCGTACAAACAGAGACAACGATCACTTTTTTCCCCCCCTTTTCAACTGCTTTAACCAGGAGCATGGCTTTGATCAAAACATAAAGCTGACTAAATGTTCAAAGTGATGAATCACCCATCGAAAGTAAATTTCAGGTCTGCAAGTCTGCATTTGCACTGCTCTCAAAGAACTGAGACTAATGGCTGCCCAGGGCTAGATGTTGAGGAATCAATCCAAAAAATTTGCACTGCTCTTTGGGAAAGGTCAGCAGTAAAGTACATGCAATAAATAGTTAATGGGCCAAAACATGTAAAATTATCAATATTATGCCTTTAGGCTTAAAGTTGGGCTGTTTTAAGCTGTTTTGCAAGTATGATATGAAGGCTGTTACCCGTAAATATGTCAAGGCAGCATGTTTTTGACAAGAAAAGTTTATACAGTATTCGCAGGAATATGCAAAGCAAATGTAGAAGGTTTTTTTCCGTGTCATCTCAGCGGCTCCCAGTTCGAGCGGACGTCAGCGACGATCCGTCTCCCTGACGACTGCACGGTGGGCTTCATCGTGGAGAAGAGGCTGGGTATCTCCATGGTCCACTGTCCTTTCTTCCACTCCCACCTGGAAAACCTGCTGCTCATCAGCCACAGGAGCATCCCACAGCAGGTAGTGACACGCAGACGTACACGGACATCCACGTAGACGCGCTTCTGCTCACTGCTGTGTGTCTTTTCTCCTCTGCAGGTGACGCTGAGTTATGGGATATTTGAGAACAAGATGAACAGCATTGAGGTGAAAGGAAGCTTCTCTAAGGAGGACGACCCCTCCAGGTTTGTCTCTCACTTCCTTCATTCAGAAATAAGCAGACGTGAGCGACGTGTCCCTGCTCACATCGGTGTGTTTGGTGAAATCTTCTGAGGCGTCAGTCAGCAGCTGTATGATGTGGTGCACGCTGCATGTACGGGTATGATGCAGCTTTGACGGACTGCCTTGTCCTCAATTAACCTTCCTTTCTCTTCTATTTGGAATTCAGATATTTTTCTGTTGTCTTAAAAGGTTATGAAACCCTTTTATTACAAAGTTTCAGAAATAAATATGCAACAAATGGACCTCGTGGCAAAACCTCCCCTTGCCTTGACCTCTGATAAATTTAAATAAATCCTCCTTAATCTCCGAGAGCAGCACTTTGTTGCCTCTGAAGCCAGAAGCAGCACTTCCACTCTTTACAAATGAGAAGCTGAACTCAGCAATTTAAATACACCCCTGCTCATTTTCAATACACTTGTGGGCTTGACTGCAGTAGTTCTGAGATGACCAGTAGCCTTTGTTGGGTAATGTTGGCCATTGTTAGTCAAGCTGATTCATGCTTGAATTAGTTAGCTGACGTTAATGAATCATCTTACTTGTGCTACTGACACACTGTATTTTAACACGAGCCATTATCTTAATTGGCAATTGGAGCAGCTGTGGCAACGGTTCAGCAAGAACTCCAAAGGGATGCTTAAAAAGATATTCATCTCTTCATTTTCTGTTTAAAGCAAGGCTCTGTTCTGGTATTCAGATAATGAAACTGCCCTGCATTTAAAAAAAATAAAAAAATGTAATAGGCCGCATTGGTGAGGGCATGTTTCATGCAGCAAACAGATAGTGAAATACTATCCTCAGCTTCCTCCCACTGAAGCTACACATAAATGATTATGAAGCAAAAACTTAGTGAGGAAAACCAGATTACAAGATGATGTCTAAGGGCTTTTTTTTTTGCACTGTGCATCCTGCTGGCTTCAGAAGAGCCCTCAGGGACGTCATGGAGCACAGAGTGACATGAAGATGCCTTGTTTCTAATAGTCACACGAGCATACGTCATAGCATGCAGGGGCCAAAGTTCCGCCTCATTCAACATGGTGGAACTTTAAATGTTGCGCTGCTCTGGTGCTTTGCTCGGCACGGTGCCAAGCCGTTGTCTTGTGGTGCAAGACAATGGAATGAAAGGGTGCATAGGTGCCGCTGCCGTGTTCAGTATGAGGGGCAATTATTAATTTGAATAAGAGTTGCTCAATGGTGCATGTGCTAAAAAAGTCTTCCAAGCATCTTCCATG